GGCGGCGGCGGCGCCGGCTCGGGGAGGGGCCCAGGCCGCTCGGCGAATCCCGGCTCGGGCGCGCCCCCTCGCGCGCGCATTCAGCCACTCGGCGTGCACCGCGGGGGGAAACGCGACCGTGACGGCCAGGCTCCGGCGAGCCGGGCTCCTTCCAGCGCGGGCGCAGCGGGTATTCTGGGAGCCCGATCAGTGCCAGGAGACGTCAACGTCGCTGAACGCGACAGGCAGGACGGGGAGGGGGGAGGGGTCCGGGTGGTGAACTCCAGCCGGAGTAAAACTTCTCGGGAGCCCCCGGGGTCCACTTCGGCCAGCATCCCAGACCAAGCTGGGATGTCAAGTTTTTAGAAATGTACAAGGGCTGCACCCACGGCCCCAGAACCAGGAAGGGATGACACCAAGGTGTCAAACCTAGGCAGTTGGTACTTGGCCAGTAGGAGGCCCGGGTGCAGAAAGCGCCTGGGTGCCTGTACTGAATACATACGTTATCATTCAAACCTCACCACAGCCTGTGGAGGGTAAACACGTTGTTTTCTCTATATATGGGGAAACTGAGGCTCAGAGAAGCGAAACAATGAATGGGCTTCCACCACGGTCAGAAGTTCCAGCCCCCACCTTCCCCGTTGCAGAGGCAATTGAAGGTGGGAAGAGCACCTGGTGCTGCAGATGGGTTTAGCAGGTGGCCGTCTACCCCTCCCCTGTCCCCACGACAGAATGCCCACAGTAGGCAGGATTATGCAGCAGCTGTGAGGCCTTGTGGACCCTCTGCCAAGATTCACTGAATTTGTGCAAAGTCATAGATGCGAAAGGGATGCTTGAAGGCAGCCAGCTCCTGCTGCCTGGGTTTCTCTCCTCAGCCCCAGAGCTGCTTTGTGACCACAGTTACTCCACTTCCTCCTAGTCTGGCTCTCGGCTTCCCCATAGGTAACAACCAAGAACCTTGTATTCCATAATCTATCTGGCATCTCCCAATACGTGCAAATAAACAAACTGGCTCTTTGTAGCCACCCCACCACCTATTAGAAACCATAAGATTAAAATTAATCGACAGGAGACCATTCAGGACAACCCCTCTCATGACAGCTTTTAGTTCCAAAATCTTCAAGGTGGATTGCCCACTCCCAACCACTAACTCCAGGATGACGGTGCACTGCCCATGCCCTCTGCAGACCCTAACATACTGGGACACCAGAGACTACCCAGATGGAGAAAGAGGATTTGAAAGTGACATTTTGAGCCAGTCTTGTGGCATGTCCCTGTAATCTCAGCACTCAGGAGTCTAAGGCAGGAAGACAGTTCCAAGTAGAAGGCCAGCCTGGGCTACTGTTTTTTTGTTTGTTTGTTTGGGGGTTTTTTTTGGTGGCACTGGGGATTGAATTCAGACCCTTGGGTTTACCAGGGAAGCACTTATTCAACTGAGCCATCTCCCTGGGCCCCTGGGATACTTACTTATTTAAGGCCAGCTGAGACTACCTACTGAGACTCTGTCTCAACCTCCTGTTCCCCACCAATAAAACCCCCAAAGTAAGACTATGACACTCAGGTTCAGCCACTTGGAAGTGTCTCTATATCAGCAGGCCAGAAAATTGTTATAATATCCAAAAGAGGTAAATGCAAATCATCCAGTTTAAGTTTCAAAAGTCCTCCCTTCCTTTGCACATATTTATAGGTATATGACAAATATACCTATCAATGAAAATACAGGATTTCATATATAATTCAACAATGATGCCACTCATAACTAACACTGTATGTTTATGATATGTTAGGCTCTGTCACATTACATTATTTAATTTAAACTTCCCAACAACTTAGAGGAAGCTGCTATTGTTCCTGTCTCACAGATGTGGAAATTGAGGCTCAGACCAGATGAATCACTTGTAGGAAGTGATGGAGCTGGGTGGGATTTGAATCCAGTTCTGCTATATGAGCATAGTTAACCATAAAGAATATAATATTGTGCCAGGTGTGGGGGTGCACACCTGTAACCCCAACATTTAGAAGGTTTTAAAAAATAAAAGGTTGAAGTAGGAGGATGTCTATGAGTTCAAGGCCAGCCTAGGCTACATATTAAGTTCAGTCCCAGGGCTGGGCATGGCGGTGCATGCCTGTAATTCTAGTACTTGGGAGGCTGTGGCAGGAGGATTATTGCAAATTTCAGACCAGAAGGGGATAGAAAGTGAGCTCAAGACCAGCCGGAGCTGCATATCAAAATCCTCTCTCAAAATAAAAAATATATTGCTTTTGTTGATTTTAAACCCTAACACACTAATACATTCATCCATTCATTCAACAAACATTGAATACTTTTGTTTCAGGCCTTGCACTAAGGACACAGCAGTAAACAAAGGCAGATGGAACCCCATGAGGCCAGGAGGTCAGCAGGGCTTTGTAGGCCATGGTGATAACTGTGGATTTAATTCTAGGAGTAACAGGGAGGCTGGGGGCCAGGGATATAGCTCAGTGGCACAGTGCCTACCTGGTATGTGTGAGGTTGTGAGTTTGACCCCTACTACCCAAAACCAGAACCAGAAACAAAAACAAAAACCAACCAACAAACAACTACTCTCTAGAAACAGGAAGGCTGGAGGTACAGAGAGTAGTGAGGGTGACATGATAAAAATCTGTACTTCTGAGGAATCATCAAAGCTGTGAAGGGACAATGAAGCGGAGATGGTAAAACTGGGAGAGAAAACAATTCAAAGACAACTATTTGGTAATGGCAGACGAGATGGGTAGAAGTAGATGGACTAAGCCTTCTCAAACTACACTGGGGGTTATAAATACCTACACAAGTGTAAAACTTCAGTTGCCTGGTATCTGAAGTGTGTTAGCAGGACCCAGAGGGGACTCCCAAAGTGAAGTGCTTGATATACTGTAAATGATCTGGTATTTACAATGCTAAAAAGCCAATTTAACTGTTTGCAAGAACAATGTAGTGCCTGGTGTGGTGGTGCTGTACTGTAACTCTACCATTCAGGAGGTTGAGGCAGGAGGATGGCCTCAAATTCAAGGCAAAGTCAGACAACTGCGTAGCATGATCCTATCTAAAAACAAAACCTGAGCTGGAGAGATGGCTCAGTGGTCTAAAGCACCTACTTGGAACAAGCTTAGCAAAGCTCAGGGACCGCAGTTCAATCCCCCAGCACCACATGCCAGCCAGCCGCGCCCCCTGGTGGGCTGAGCTGGCCACACACACACACACACACACACACACACACACACACAATAAATAAATGTTAAAAAATAAATAAATAAATAAATAAAGGACCATTAAAAAAAAATAAATAAAAAATAAAAAATAAAAACAAAACCTAAGAAACTATGGTAACTAGGGCCAGGGGGAGATGACTCAGTGGAATAAATACTTCCCTGGCAAGCGCAAGGGCCTGAGTTCAATCCCCAGTTCTGCAAAAAATAAATAAATAAGAAAATAAAAAACAAACAAACAAACTATGGTAACTATAGGTAACTACAAAGCTGGGGGTTAGGTGACAGTGAAACTCACTAGTCAGTAATTACAAAGGTGATTTGTAACCCTACCATGATAGAAGCTGGGGAACTTTCACCTTCACTTTGGCTAAGTAAGGGAGGTAAGGACCAAACAAGCCTAGGAAGGCATGGCTACCCTGGACAGTGACTTTGGACTTGAGCTCAACTCTGAAGTGGAATAACAATTTGTACAAATTAACTGAGATAATAAATTGCCTGGCCCTCAATGTCAATTATTAATCACCCATAGTATTTTGATGATAAATGGTTATTTTCCCCCATAGGTTAATTAAAGCGTTGGTTTTTGTTTGTTTTTTTAATGTACTACTTTAGATATCTTTTTTTTTTTTTTTTTTTTCAGAACTGGGGATTGAACTCAGGTCCTTGTGCTTGCCAGGGAAGCGCTTATTCCACTGAGCCGTCTCCCTGGTCCCCTTAATGTACTACTTTTGAAACAGGTAGTTGAGATGGTCTTGCAATGATGGGAAAAATGAACCAGGGAATCATAGTTTTATTGAGACTCTGTCAGATGACTAAATAAATTAAATATACTTTTAGAAGCTTAACATTTTTCTAAGGAAAAAAATTAGTCTTAACTTTTTCCGTGAATTGGGTTATGAAGCTCTTTTGGCCTGAATTCACTATGCCTCCTTTCTTCACCAGAATCTGGGGAAGACTTGTCCCCAAAGACCATATATAGTGCTGCTGGGAGAACAAATGATGCAATTGGGTGTAGGGCCTGCAAACAAAGAGGCCCAATAAATATTGGCTGAACGAATGCATCAAGATTTATTCGTTATTGTTACAGAGAGCTTACTGCATTAAGGCAAATTCCTACTAGTATGTGGTGCCTTGGCATTTCAAGCATAATGTAATGCTCCAACTTATTTTTTAAAAACACTAATGTTACTCAACTGTCACTTAAGTTTTTGGCCCTTTAGCGCGGAAACACAACGGCTGGAAATGACCAAGCGGCTGGCGATCTCTTTGCCGCATAACGTGGGCTTCGTGGTCCTGACTGCAAACTATGGACTTCGGGCGGGGACATCGCCTTCCGCACGGTACACCCCACCCACGCCAACGGCCGTGGGCTGCAGTCCTGACCCGATCGGGCAAACTGGACCTCAGGAGGCGTTAGGGGGTCCTTGTCACCCAAAATGGGCCAGTTGGGCCTGGCCTCGCTCTGCGGTGCAGAGCTGAATCAGACCATGGGGGAAGGAAGGTGCCACGGCAGCGCTCACCCCGACGCGCTCCTCAAAATGTAGGTTACGGATCTGCTCCCGGGTCTCGCGGCCACCTCCAGGAGAGAGCACTGGGATGGGCGAAGCCCTGTTCCCGCTCCTCCTGTCCTTAACAACCTTTCCTTGGAGGTGCCCTAAGCTTTGGTTTGCAGTGAGCTCTAACATATGGATCCGCTACCTCTGGGAGAGGCAGCGGCAACGGGCGCCCACACTTTCAGAGAGGAGAAACTGAGGCGCGACAGTGGAAAGGGCTTCTGGGGGCTTCCGAAGCGGGAGTTGGGGCATGGGGAAGGTTGGGAGGGCGCCTCCTCCCCCGCCTCGGTGTCCCTACACACCACCCGCAGGAGAGTGCCTCCCGCCGCTGCTCTCGGCTCGCTCTAGCGCCAACCCCCACCCGGCCGACCCAAGCGCTAGCCAACTGGGCAGATACCTCTCGCCATTGCCGGGCTCTGTCACCGCCTGGGATCTCCCGGGAAACCGAGCTTTCGAAAAAAGTTGCAACAACTGTAACCAACTGCTCCACCGAGCTGCAGTGGCTCACCCTGATTGGCGCCGTCGCCCGCCTCTCCGCAGACTGAGGGTTGTGATAGGTGAACTCTCACAGAGAGCCCGCCCTTTTCCCCGCCTCCCAGGCCAGGGCGGGGCCAGCGGCCTCACTTTCTACAAACGCTTTCCGGACAGGTCCCGACCAAGGAGGTGGGAGGGGGTTTAAATTTGACGGATTCCCGGCGTTGATTGGCTGAGGAGAACGACACCCGCGCTACCATTGGGTGGCCGCAAAGCTCCTCCCCCTCTCCGTGCTCCACCTTTGGTGCTTTAATCCCGCAGGGCTGGAGGCTCCGGTCCAGGTAGACCAGATAAAAGGCTTCCGGTATTTTCCAGGTTTGACCGGAACCCGATCTTTAACCGCGGGACGCCTCCGTATTACCAGGGGAACTAGATCGCCTAGCTGCCTGGCATCTCTACCACCACGACTTCTCTTACAGTTTAGCCCACTCATTCTTTTTGAAAGGTTTATTGAGCTTGTGTTCTTCCAGTATTTCAGCGCTGCAAGTAGAACCGGCAACTAACTGTACTCGGCGGGTAAACTTCCTTGGAGGTCAAAGATCCTATCCCTACATACTCACCCATTTTACAGACGCAGTGGCAGAACGGACGGGTGTCTTACTTGCTGCCCCAGGTCACCTGGTGGTTTAACTGAAGGGCCAAATCAGTATCCTGACAGTCTTCTAGATAGCTAGCGAGGCTGGGAGCTCCACAATGTGCCTCCGCAGGCTAAGCCCAGTCAGCAGGTGTCCAGGGAAGCATGGTGGGCATTCATTTCTCTAGAATCAGGGCGGGCCTCCAGGACCTCCTCTTCCCTGAAGGGCCCTCCTGGAGCTATAGGAATTTGTATTCTTCCCCCCACCCCAAGAACCTTTTGAATACTGTGTCCCCACCTCCGCTGTCAAGCAGAAAAGCAAGCTGGAGTGCTACAGGGGTAGGGGTGCAGCCCCTGAAATGTAAGAGGCTCCAGGTTTCATTCCATGTATCACAAAGGAAAACAGCCTGGTAAAACACAGGGCAGCAAGCAGGACGGGAGTGCACACCTGAGATCCCAGCTCTCAGAAGCATCAGACAGAAGGGTTGCTGTGAGTTGGAACCCAGCCTGGGGTATTTAGTGAGTTCAAGGTCAGCCTAAACTACAAAGCAAAACCATGTACCCTGTCTCAAAAGCCCACCCAGGGGCCAGGGAGATGGCTCAGTGGAATAATCCCTTCCCTGGCCAAGCGCAAGGGCCTGAGTTCAATCCCTGGTTCCGCCACAAAAAAAAGCCCACCCAAAAAATATACAGACCACATTATTAATATATATATATATATATATATATATATATATCAGGGATAGAACTCAAAACCTTGCACTTACTAGGCAGGTGCTCAAGCTGCTGAGCTATCTCCCCAACTCCATATAAATATTTATTATTACATACTACTGGGGATTGAATACAAGGCCTTTCCAAATGACATCACCACCCCCTTTGAAGTGTGTGTGTGTGAGACCGGAGACCAATGTGCTTGCCACGCAAGCAAGTCACTGATCTATATCCCAAGCCCCATTTTAAAAAAAAAAATTTTTTTTGTATATGTTCATTGTATGAGATAGGGTCTAGTATAGTGTATAGTTCAGGCTGGCCTTGAGCTCACAGTGGATCTTCCTGCCTCAGCCTCCTGAGTGTGGGGGACTACAGGTATGACACACCGCACCTGACTTTATTTTTGAGACAAGGTCTTGCTAAGTTGCATATGCTGGACTTGTGATTCTCCAGCTTTCCAAAATGCTAAGATTGTGGGTGAAAACCTTTCTACATGGCCAAAACATTACTTAGATGGGCTTTAAGAAGGTAATTTTATTTATTTTCATTTTATGTATTTGACATAGGGTCTCAATACACAGCACAGACTCATAGTGATGCTCCTGTTTTCAGCTTCCCCAAGGCTGGGATTACAGGTATGCGCCACTATGCCCAGACTAGAGTGCCCAGGGTCGGGGCCTTCTCAGCATGAGGTGCCAGGGATTGAACCATAGTACCTGTACTTGCCTTAAGTAGGTGCTTGTCTGCTGAGCTATCTCACCAGCCCAGGTTTGGTTTTTTGAAACAGGGTCTCACTTTGTAGTTCTGGCTGGCCTTAAACTTATGCAGCCAGGTTGGATTCAGACAAAATGCTGCTGGTCAATGGCTGTTTTTGTCTTTCTCCCTCACTCTGCTTCCTGTCTTTGATGAGGTGAGTGGGTCTGGTTTTTGTTTGAGACAAGAGTCTCTGTGTAGTTCAGGCTGGCATTGAACCCACTATGTAGTCTTGCTTGCCTAGAAATCAGATATGCTTCTGCCTCAGCCTCCCAAGATCCATGCCTTTTTTTTTTTTTTTTGTATTTTAGGGAAGCGTCTACAGGGTGTTCAGGGTCTCACTACTAGACTGGACTCGTAGTGATTCGCGCCTGGGATCGAACTCTGGCCTGTGTGCCTTCTTGCATTTGCTTTAATCAGGTGCAAGCCACCATGCCCAGTCTCAGTTGCCTTCTTAGCATGCCCCGGGGGCGGGGTGGCACATCAAGCTGGGATTGAATCCTGGTCCCTGTGTCTGCCTAAGCAGGTGCTTTAATCCGCTGAGCTACTTGGCCGGCCCCAGTCTCCTCTATTTCATGAATTTAGCCCTTTCACTGCTCAACAGTTCTGGTCCAGCTCAAGTTCTCATCTTCTCTTTTTTTGCGATAGGGTCTTGCTTTGTAGGGCAGGTTGGCCTTGAACTCTCTGTGATCCTTTTGCCTCTGCTTCCCAAGCACTGGGATTCTAGGTGTGCGCCACCATGCTTGAGTCCCAGAGTGATCTTTCTAGAATGCTTATCCAACCATGGTGGTTTTCTGTATCTAAAAAACTTCTCAGATCCCTGTACCCTATGGACCAAAGTCCAAACTCAAAGTCCCTTTAAGAATTAGAGCACTCTAGCCAGGTGAGCCACAAGTTCCAGGCCACTGTGGGTTGCAGAGAGTTCAAGGCAAGCCTGAACCATGTACAGCAAGATTCTGTCTCAAAAATCAAACACAAAAGAATTAAAAGAATGTAAGAGAATAGCCTTATCTACTTTTCTTTGGGAGGAACAGTGGTTACCAGGGGTTGAAAACAGGGTCTACTTCGTTACATCCTCAGCTGCTTTTTTTCTTATTTTGAGAGTCTAAGTCATTAAGTTGCCCATGGTAGGCTGAATTTATGATCCTCCTGCCTCAGCCTCCTAGGGCTAGGCTAGTATTATAGGCATGTGTCACCACGCCTGGCCCTGCTTCTTACTTGCCGTATCTAACAATATTCACATGGGATCTAGCCACACTAGTTCTTTAAGCAGGATAATATAGAGCACTTCTCCTTAGGTTTGAACTGGCCAGAGTAGGTGACTGGAAGGGTATAGAACCTAAAGGCACCAGTGTTTTTCTTTTCTTTTCTTTTTTTTTGTGGAACCGGGGATTGAACTCAGGTCCTTGCGCTTGCCAGGGAAGTGCTTATTCTATCTCCCTGGCCCAGGTACCAGTGTTAGTGACTGCAGGAAGCAACCCTCATCAGTGATGCAGAAAACTGGTGTAATTTAAATTTAGCAACCTCAGGGCTGGCCAAATAGCTCAGCAGATTAAAGCTCCTGCAAGCAAGAGCAGAGGCAGGGGGGTTTGATTCTCCAGACCTGCCGTGCTGGCCCTGCCCCCAGGGCACCGAGAGGGCGATTGAGACTGAGTGTGGTGGCCACATCTGTAATCCCAGCTCTTGGGTGGCTGTAAACAGGCAGATCACTACAAGTCTGATCTAGTTAGTGAAAGCCTGAACACTGTAGACACTCCCCTAAAATTAAAAAATAAAAATAAAAATAAAAATTACCAACCTGGTCTCAGTGTGTTGTAGCACTCTCGTTCATTCCAGCACTCAGAAGGCTGAGGCATGGGCTGGTGAGATGGCTCAGTGGTCTAAAGCACCTACTTAGAACAAGTTTAGCAAAGCACAGGCACAGGGACTGCGGTTCAATCCCCCAGCACCACATGCCAGCCAGCCCCACCCCCTGGTGAGCTGAGCTGGCCACACACACACACACACACACACACACACACACACAAATAAAATTTAAAATAACCTCTGAGTTCAAGGCCAAATTGAACTACACAGCAAGATTGACCTCCCTTCAAAAAGCCACCCCACTCAAAAAAACAAACCAACACAAAAGCCCAAAAAACAGGCTTTTCCTATTGTGAAACCTGGGCTCCAAGGAGAGGGCTCTGCTTACCAGGGCTGGTGTTCCTGAGTTAGGGACCACCCAAGGGACTGTAGCTGGTCCTGGAGTTGGGGTGGAGGAAAAGCTCCCAAACAATTGCTGTGGAGGGAGGCAGGGCACATGTGCAGGCCCCTTTCCCGGTCTCACCCTGCTCTCTGCTAGCACTGTTCTGTTTTTTTCCAGTACTGGGGATTGAACCTGGGACCCTGCGCTTGTGAGCAGGCACTTACCCTGCTCAGCTTTACCCCCGGCCCACACTAGCACTCTGTTGCTCGCAGTCTCTGTTGTGTAGTCTATGAAGCAGAAAGCCAGCAGACAGAAGCGCGGGCTCGGGCTGAGCGCCACAGTCCAGTGCACCTGCCTTCCTACTCCTAAGGATATCGGCACACACTCCTGCGTTTCTGTTTGCTTGTTCTGATTTCTGGAGACAGTTGATATAGCCCAGGCTAGCCTTTAACTCTCAGCAACCCTCCCTGCCTCAGCTTTCTGAGTGCTGGGGTCACAGACATGCCCAGTGCCACCATGTCCTGCTAACGCCTGCTTTCCAAGTCTCAGTCCAGTCTTCCCTGTCAGGACGACTCCTTTGACATCCTGGATGAGGCCCAGTTCCAACACCATAATACTCTGTTAGCTATTTCGTGGCATCGTGACAGTGGCATTTTATGTTGTATGTGATGCATATATTAACGCCCACTAGGTTGTAAGGGAACAGTCTTAAGGGCAGAGGT